CTCTCTTCTTCACTTCCCCTTCCATTCTCTCTCCTTATCTCTCGTCTGTCTCTGTGTTTCTGTCAGTTCCTCCCTTTTTTTACTCTCCCTTTGTCTCTCAGTTTCCTCTTCACTTCCCATCAATATATCATTCTCTCTCTCTCTCTCTCTCTCTCTCTCTCTCACTCTCTCTCTCTCTCTCTCTCTCTCTCTCTCTTTTATCTTTCGTTTTATTTTTCGTCTCCGTGTCTTGTCTGGATAAAGCCGTAGGGGAGAATGTGGTTAGTGGACGACTTAACCTCTTGAGTACGATAACTTAACCCCTAAAACAGTATATAAATAGAAAATAGAATTAAATAAAGGTCATATAACCAACCTGCTTAAACAACTTAAACTACCAAACCTGTATCGAGCACGTAGACTAATTTGGTAGTTTGAAAGGAGTTGTATGAAAGTTAATTGGGAAACAGAGTTGTAAGCGAGTGGTAAAAAAAAATTAGTTCCCAAACACCATCATTAACTCTAACACGTTGATGAGTTTTGTATATAAGTTTAGACAGATGATATGACTGATATATGGTGTGGGTGTAGACAAAAGGGGCTGGTTATGTCTGTCTGTTTGTCTGTAGGTCTCTGTCATTTTGTCTGTCTGTCTGTCTGTCTGTCCTGTTTTCTCTGTCTCTGTCTCTCTCTTAATATTTCTCTCTCTTTCTGTCTGTCGGTATGTCTCTCTCTTTTTCCCTGTCATTTATGTCTGTCTGTCTATCTGTCACTTTCTATGTCTGTTTGTTTTTCTCCGTCTGTCTGTCTGTCTCTACCTCTCTAAAAACCAACCTTTATAAAATAATTTCAACACAACCATAAAATAACATCCACTCCCCATCGTTTACAGCAACTCTGAGAAGAACCTTTTGCTTGCCTCGTTGTCACCCAGCAAGCAAACTGTGGCGCAGTATGTTACCTCACACTACAGGAGTGCTTGCAAACTGCTTGAAATGCATGTATGTGTTCCACTGTGTGCTTGAGGCCAGGGTACCAGCGATCTTGTAATTTATTTGTGTGTGTGTGTGTGTGTGTGTGTGTGTGTGTGTGTGTGTGTGTGTGTGTGTGTGTGTGTGTGTGTGTGTGTGTGTGTGTGTGTGTGTGCTTGCTGGAATATGTATGAATGTTTGCTGCCTTGTGTACACGTGCTTGGGAATCTGTTTGAATATTTATGTATGACCGTATATATATATAAACCCCGTCACACACACACACACACACACACACACACCTACACTATGACAGAATTAACTCAGGTGCAACATAAACGGATCAGGTGTGTTGCGTCCGAGCCATCACTTGCGCGTCAGCCAGGCGTAGATACAAGCATCCTGCCTATGTTAATACGCTATGTGCTGGCGTTACCTGGAGTGTGTGTGTGTATACGTCGTTGATGACTAATCCGTGTATCTCAAAGAGTCTTGAAAGCTTAACCACCTCCCCCCCCTCTCCCTCCTACCTCCCGTCTAGATACTACACAAAACACACACACACACACACACACACACACACACACACACACACACACACACACACACATACATTGAGGTATTTCCCAGGTACTTCAGAAATACTCAAAGTTGTAATATTCTTTCTCATCCCAACTTATTCCTCCTTCCTATCCCTTCATCTCATCCATCCATTCCTCCCTGTTTCCTCATCCCCTCTCCTTATCCTCTCCCATCCTCCAATCCTCTCCCTCCCTTCCCTGTTCCCATCCTCCCCCCACCACTCCGTCACACCCCCCCACCCCCTCCCCAGTTGACCTCATTACGTATTCTCAATGTCCGAATTTATAAATGATTTTCAGGATTTAGGGAAACTCTGGTCGGTCAGTTGTCAGATGTTATCGTCCGTTTGCCTCAAGTTTTAGCCATCTGACCTCCAGGTATGTATTGGGGAACATATCAGACGTGGGGGGGCGGAGGTGTTCCTTTAGCTTGACTCACTCCAGTTAGTCTGACAGGACGATGGTGCGTGGAGGGAAACTTAGCTGGGATCAGGTGAAGGTTAGCAATACTTTGATGATAATGTCTCACTGCTTCTCTCCTAGCACAGGTAAGTAATCTTCTAGCACAGGTAAGATGTCTCCTAGCACAGGTAAGATGTCTCCTAGCACAGGTAAGATGTCTCCTAGCACAGGTAAGATGCCTCCTAGCACAGGTAAGATGTCTCCTAGCACAGGTAAGATGTCTCCTAGCACAGGTAAGATGCCTCCTAGCACAGGTAAGTGGTATCCTAGTCTCTCTGTGTCTGTCTGCTGTTTGTGTCTTTCTATCTATCTATCTATGAGGGGAGAGACGGTAGGTATAATGAGGGACAGGTGCAGATATTAGTAAGAGGAAGAGGAGGATGAGGGTAGGGGAGAGGAAGGGTGGACAAGGATTAAGACAGGTGTGAGTAAGGGAGTAGACACAGCTGGGCCAGGCAAGCGAAGGGGATAGAGAGCCAGAGCCAGTCAGTGTGTTGGCAGCATCCGTGAGGGGAGGCTGCGTCTGTCCGCTCTCCCACACACACACAGAGTCGCGCCCCGCCTCTCGTTCACCGCACGCGACGACCCTCCCGCACCGCACGCGACGACCCTCCCGCACCGCACGCGACGACCCTCCCGCACCACACACACCATTCCGTAAACACAGAAAAAATATCACGTCTAGTTTATCGATTCTCAGATGATAAAACACACAAACATTTTTATACAGAAACAGAAGTGTAATGTTTGTTAATTTATAAACAGTATATTAACATCGTGTGTGCGTATTGTAAAAAGATCGTATTGTAAAAGTGATTTCTGATGTATTTATGATTTTGTTAATGTTGGAAATTATACAGATATTCGCCTCTGATTTTAAGAGTACTTGATATAAACTTTTTATATATGTTTTTTAAAAGTGGTATATTGTAATTCGATTGTAAATAAAAACAGTGTATCGTAAATCAAACCAGTAACACAAAACACAGAAATTAATGTTTTTTCTCTCATGGCTATCGTAAAAAAAAAATAATTTAATTAAGAATACATTTACCATCCGTGTATCGTAATATAAAGTATCATAAGTGACTCTCGACTCTACGATCACTTACACCAACAGAGTGCATCGTGTCTTCACCTCCAGGATTCACTTATTATGTAAGACACACTTAATATTTGTCTTGTGTATTTGTAAATGTTGTGATCTTGTTGTATTTCATCGCAACCTAACTTAACCTACCCTACCCTAACCTAACCTAGAACCGTAAGTAATGGCAGATTCTTATAACACTGTATAAGGATTATCAAGTATTTGTAAGTTAGCCACACTTATAAATACTACTTTTATGCCTTAAGTATTCAGTCTTTAACAAATATTATGACATAGGAAAGAATTCTCACTTTAGACATATTTTAACCTTCATTAATTCTTGCTAATTCTCATTTTATCTCAGATGGACTTAAAGGCCCCTAATTAACCCTCATTAACCTTAAAATAACCCTCACTTTTAAAGGTATTAACACTAAGACAAAAAAACCTTCATTATACTCAAGAATTTCCATCTCATAAAAAATCCTAAATAATCTCTGTTTTAAGATTTTTTTTTTCATTGATAAAACATAAACCAAAAACGTAAGAAAATAGGTCATAAATTCTCACTGTTTTAAGAATTCCAATAAATATAATTCTCACCCTTAAACCAGACGCAGGAATAAGAAAAAATGATAAATTCTCTTCCATTTCCTTATTCTTCTTCGTCTTGATAATTCGGGTATAACTTGGCGGAGAATATCAGTGTGTGTGTTTGTGTGTGTGTGTGTGTGTGTGTGTGTGTGTGTGTGTGTGTGTCTGAAATCTAATAAACGGGGTCGATAACTGTCTGAAATCCTTATCTTAGAACTGAATTAGAGAATGAAATCAAAAGGGGTTAGGTTAGGTTAGGTTAGGTTAGGTTAGGTTAGGTTAGGTTAGGTTACAGTCGAGTTACTAAAAATACAGTAGCCGAAACAGTGACCCCAACAGGTGAGATACAGAATGAATCAACGGTAGTGTATAAGTTGTATACACCACCACTCGCTGTGTCATACATAGCTCCTGTTAGTTGTATTTTATTAACGGAACCTGAGTCACAACGTATATTAACGGGTGTATGGAACGTATGTATGAACAGGTGTGTAACAACGTGTATTAACAGGTGTATGAAACTGTTGTATGAATGGCTGTTAACAGAATTTATCAACAGGTGTATGAAACGGATGTGTGAACAGGTGTATAACAGAGCATAACAACGGTTGTATGAAACGGATGTGTGAACAGGTGTATAACAGAGCATAACAACAGGTGTATGAAAGAAAATAACTACAGAGATAATAAGACTTACCAACAGGTGTCCAAGACAGGTGAGTGCGTTAACAGGTAAGAGCAGAAAGTGTCTGAAACAATAAACAATCGAATTAATTAACAAAAAAGTGTACGAAACAAATACTTCCATAAAAACATCAATAACAACAAGAGAAAAGTGTCAGAAACAAATAAACTCTAATTAACAAAGAAATAAAAAAGTGTTTGAAACAATGTAAAAAAAAATATATCTTCAGGAAATTATAAAAAAAATACATCAAGAATATATCCATTACAAATACAACCCAAGTGTCAAGTCACCTAACAACAACAACAACAGTAACAACCACAACAACCACAACAACCACAACCAGATCGTGTGGTTCCTCAGACAAGAAACTAGAGCCATGATTATCGCCTCTTGATAAACTAACGTAAGTGTTGAGAAAAAAAAAATAATATATTGTATTTATTATATTTGACGTGATATTTTTGTCTTTGTTATTTTGAATATTTCTGTGTTAATGTTTAATGTTTTTTTTGGGAAGGGGGGGGGAGTATTTTTGTGAGTTTTTGAAGTCCCTCCAAACTTTAACTCTACCATCACTCCCTTCACTTATCCTCCCTTTACTTCTCCTCCCTTTCCCCACTACTCCCTTCACTTCT